GGGGGGGGGGGGGGGGTTCTGGGGGTTGATGGACCACAAGGACCCCACCTTCACTTTTTGATATGTTGCAGTATTTTGAAATGATTTTGCCTTCAGCGGAAAGCCTTTGATCTTCTCTACAAGATGGGGTATATTTTATGGGTGGTGGCGCTGCTGGAGGTCTGTGATGTCACCAAACTTGATCGCCATCTTGGCCACCATCTTGGATTTTAACAAAAATTAGAAATCAGGTAAAAACAGTGAGAATTAATAATAATATTTCTCTTTGAGGTTAACTATATTAAAAGTCACTGCTGTCCTATTTACCTTTGTTAGTAAAATAATTAATAACCCCTAATTTATTGATGACCAAGCATCATGCCTACACAGAGGCAGCAGGCATTTGTAAGTTACTTCAATTAAATAAATAATAAATATTCCCTTTTATTCTCATCACCTATTTGTTAATGGTGGTCTTGGAAGTACAACAACTTCTTACCAGAAAGAGATGATACAATATCACTGAGGTCAGCATTAGCAGCAGCATCCAAGTTTGCTCGTTGTAGCTCACTCTGTAGATGTTGCTTGATCTTCTTTTCCAAACGCTCTCTCTTCTGAGCCAGGTATTCCTTTGCCAAATTAACGCGACAATTAATAATGAATAATTATAGTTATTATTACTATAATGTACTCTTCTTAAACACTTTCACTTATAGAGTCAATGAATTGCCTATAATATGATATTATTGAAAGGACTCTAATTATTTACTTCTATCATATAAAATCCAAAGGTGTGACCAATCAAATGAAACCTCTTCAGCAGTACTTTCACATTGTACCCCTCGTTTTCCACATCATAGTCTGTGGATGAAGTAACGGGGTGTTACCATTTAAAAGAAAACTCCTCAGTGGTTCTGACTTTAACATGGTGCTATTTGTTTTGCATGAAAATCTATTGCAGTTTCTGAGTCAATGGATGAAATCCTTAGGTGTGACCATTCAAATGAAACCTTGTGAGCTTTTGTATGGCACAATTGTTTTTAGTATTTAACAAAAAATGAAATAAGGATTAGCCATGAATTTAAGCTTCTGGTAACTGTTAATCCTGAAAGAGAGGCCACGTCACTTTTATCCCTCCAATGTAGTGAGATCATCAATTCACTGTAGTTTTCTGCACAAACAAAGTTTGCTCACAATATCACTGCATACCTCTTTAGAGAGTTGTGATGCCAGTCCACTCTGATTCCACTCGTTCTCCCACTCATTTGCTAAGGTGACTGCTATCGCATTTTCTTCAACCACAGATGGGGCTACATCTTGACGACAGGCTGGCTGACTTGTGATAAAAGGCAAGGAAGTTCCATAATATGCCTTAACATCTGCACACACAAACAAAAAACAAGGAAAATATATCAGAAACATTCTGTAACATAACAGGCACTAGCGGTTTCTTTTGAAGAAAAAAATTGGAGATTGTGATCTGTACCATCAATACCAGTAGGATATCACATGGAATCTGCTAAGTATGGAAAATAAGATAAGAATCTCTCTACTGTTAATAGATTACTACAGATAACATTTTTTGAGCACATTAAAAAAACATATAATATGCTTATCTTGCCGAGAAAACAGCCAACATTTTGTGACGTCACAACTGGTTTCCCTGCAAAATGACGTCTGACGAATATTGATGACAGGTCACTACCCAGATCTGGATAGTGTTTTTGATTAGTTGAAAATTTGATAAAATACTTATATTTTTGTATCGAAGACTGGACAGTAAATTACCTTTGGGTATTTTCTTGGTTAAATCTCCCAAACCTTCTGGGATTCTCAAAGGGCATGCATGAAACCTTCTGACACATCTGGTTCCCTGCAAATCAAGATAATATTTTGAAGTTAATGTAACCATTTTTAAGTTACACAACAAATTCATTAATTCTGATGAACGTTAGGGTTATAACTGTAAGTTCCTTTATTATTTTATCACTGTGGGTTTAGTATCGCACTCTTTGTACTCAAACCAGAAGGCACAAGAAGATATTAAGAAGGTAGTTCATTTTATTAGTGCTTTTGTCACCCACCTCCTTATGCCAGGCTCGAGGTTTAGTTCCAGTCCAGCTAATGTTGTCTTTCTTACAGAAAGAAGGCGTCCAAGGCTTAGCAAGTCTCTTCGACAACTCAGCAGCTATCCTTCTATTGAGCATCACAGCTGACCCTGTGAATAAAGGCAACAACAATACCAATATCGACAAAGAAAAATATGTCATCTCACAATCCACAAAAGAATGTGACATGTATACATTAAAAAAACTCAAATTCTTAGGCAACTTATAACAAAGTTAACATTTACACAGAGGTTCTTTAATTTATTTTGCTTCAGTGCATCTTTATTGTGACACAAATGACCTTGAAAACATTTACTCCATTTCCTACTGAATATATCATTTATTTATAAGGGCAGTTTTTTTAATGAGCAACATAAAAGAATCATTATGGCACTGCACTCCAGTCCCTTGGTTGAGTGTTGTTTGTTTGTTTTCTTTTTCATTGAGGTCTTGATCATGAATATTTTTCAAAATTTTGTTCGCACGTCCTTCTGTTCTCTAAGCACCTGGAGACAGGTTTTGTTGGGGAGGTTACCTCTTCCAGAGTTACCAGAGTTGCTTTACGTTGCATCAGGTCCACATGCTCACCCCAAACCAACATTTTACGGATCAGATCAAGTGCTCATTGATCATCAAAGAGTTAAATATCCTGGCAAAACACCTCCGTGAAAAAGTGTGGTTGGCAGATAGTCTGTTAACTTACCCATTGCTGGCTCGCTTGCTGATTCTGAACTCTCTTTTGGAAGATTCTCCACTAAAAACATGAACAACTTCCTGATGTCTGCTTCATTGGAGTAAAGGAATGTTTGGTACCCTATTTCCCCACGATAACCCACTTCCTACAAGCAAATAAGTCACAGAGCAGATGGTTCGCTATATGCTCATAGTTGAACAGCCACTGGTCTAGTCACACCGACAGTAACATATAAAAGGTGCAGAGGATAACAACACAATTCCAATGGATGAACTGTAATAACAGAAAATGTTGTTGCTAGTCTGAATTTTACCCTAACATGGCCTCCATACCCAGGAGGGGTACTCAACAAATTTTTATACAAGGTCCAACCCCTTACCCTTTTATATACCATTTTTCACGAAAAAGTTACCCCTTTCGTATACCTTTTAGAACTTTGCATCCCTTTTAACTAATGTAAATGCATTGTCATTTAAATAGGAATCAATCACAAAAATAGAACGTTTTCCCGACTTTATAAAGCCATAAAATTCATCCGTTTGGCCCTTTGGGCCCTTTCACAGACCCAAATGACAGATTTCCCTACCCTTCCATACACTTCAACAAGTAAAATCCCTACCCCTTCATATACCTGAAGCTTGAAAAAGGCACCGCTTTCGGGCGGAGCCTCCCCGTATAGGCCGTTATAGGGAGTACCGCCCCCCTGGGTCTCCACAGTACCAAACTAAGCATTATGGCCAGTTGCTGATGAGGACAGAACATAAGACATGACTGGGTACATGTGTAAGGTGCCGGCAATACCAATGAGTTTGTGCTTCCTTGCGGAATTTTGTCCATCACATTTTCATCAGTTATGTTTTTAAGACCCTTGCAGTTTGTCCTGCCCAAAATAAAATGTCTGGTACCCAGCCAATTCAATAAATCATTCTTATGCCTTCTGTCAGTATATACATCCATTGTCTTGTAGTCCATTGTTCACAGCTTTGTTTTCACAAAAGACCTACCTGACAAGCTGTAGCTAAGGTTGTCCCCAACCTAAACTTGGATGACATGCTAGCAGGCAACACCGAAGGAATCTGCAGATCATCTTTGATCATACGAAGACATTTGGATGTTGCACCAACAATCATGGCTGTCGTAAACTCTCTCAAGCTTGAGACATCTTCAGGGATGTCACTAGCATTTTGAGAAGAAGAGGATTAATCAACAACAAATTTTAGTGGAGTTTAACCACTCTTAACCAGAAATGCAAAAATCCAAAAATGTTGTTTGTGTGTTTTAAAACGGTTTGCTAAACGAGATGAACCTAAGCGTCGCAAAACATTTTCGAGAGAGGATATCAAAAGACCTCGATACTGCAAGAGAAGAGGGTATGAATTGCAAATCACCCCTGGGCACGATAACGCTACAAAACTTTCCATTTCCACTTCATTTTAGAGAAAAACTACCTTAAGATGTCTAATTACGACTAGAGAACAGCCAGACACTGTGTGCACCGTATTCTTACCAGCCGATCTGCCTGAATGTATGGATAATAATATTATCCACCTCCTCCATTTTGGATTGCAGCTTATTACTCTTGGGGGATTGGGTCCTGGTGTCCTCTTCCGGACTTGTTCGACTTGTTCCCAGTCGCTCCGGGGAAAGAATTTGTGTATTTTAAGACAAATTTAATTTTGCTAATTCTTTTTTTGGAAGATATGCAAATATAGTTGCCAAACAATAGCGCACAAGTTATTTGAAGGAAATAAAAATTATCGTGTATGCGAAAAGAAAAAATAGGGCGGTGCTAGCAGGGAACTTGTTGACATGCCCGCCTTTATTGTTCAGAGTGATCTTTGCCCGAAAAATACATTTATCAGATGATATTCAGCTTAAATGAAACTGGTCGTGTGGATGGCTCTCCCGCTGACTTACGTTCCCCTGAAAAAATAGGTTATTTGTAGGGTAATTAATAAACCAGGAGCGGCTATAAAAAACATGAAAACACCACCCTCAAATGAGCAAGTGACGCATTATAAATGGCTCCACGACACAGAGCAATCACGTAAGCTGGTGTTACTGGTTATCTAAACAGCTCTTTCATTATTGGTTGAAAAAGTTACAAAAATGTCACAAACACCATATGGTAACTCTTTGTCCTTTGAATAAAAATTTCATCCCAAATTGTATGATGCAAGAAAATCGAAACATCCGTCTTAGCATGGGCACTTAAATCTGATTTATTGACCAGGTAGGCAATTTTTACTATTAATTCGACTAATTTGATCCCCGGCCAAGGTCCCGCAATATACGTAAATTTAAAGTGAAAGTAATCAACCGTTTCAAACCTTTTCACCTTCTATGCCGGCCGTCTGTTTGTATTAAGTCGACTTAACGCGTACGGCGATATGCAACAACGATTGATCTTTAACAACTTACCTTTTGACCCTCTAAAGCAAAACCATTTCAACCGCAACTTTCGTGTTAAAAAAACAGATCGAGTTTCAGAATCAATTTCAAACCTTGGCACCATAAGTTTACGCGTGCGTGCTCATTGCAACGGCAACGAGAACGTCGCTTAAAAAGTGAATTTGCGCCCTTTCAGTCTTCATCGCAATCATTCTTACCCACTTACTTTGTCAAATGTAGGCGAACCCTCCTGGAGTTGAATTCCTAGGGACCATGTCCAAGTTCAGAAAGAGAAATTGTTTACGTTTACGTTGTTTACGTTCTCCATAAAAGGTGAAAATAGGCATTTTCACGTTGTAGTTGTGCAAAAACGGGAAAAGAAATGTACAAATAAGTGTGATGCACGTGCAAAGTTGTTGTTTTTCTTATAAAACCTATTGTTTTTTTTTTTTACGTTCTCGCTGCCGTCCGCGTCGTTGGATCTTAAAGTCCCTACAAGTTCACGTTCAAAAACTTAGCTTAATGCAACATCGTGGATGCGGCGGATCTCTTTATATTCCTGATTTAGGTTCGCAGGTAGCTTTGAATTGATAGCCCAGTTAGACAACAAGTTTATTCAGAGCTACTACTTGTCAAATAAAGTGGAAGTTTTCTTTTAAAATAAGCATTTCTATTACAAACCTAGAAGTCAGTATAACGTACAGCATTACAGTTGTCGTTGCTGATGTTACATAATTCTATATCAGATTCACCGTTTTATGTTCTGCTGCCAGTCCGGGGTAAACATTTGCAAGAAAGGAGGTCTGTGCTAAACTTCGCTCCATGCAAGGGAAATCAATCCAAGACAGTCTTGGATTCTGGATGCCAAGACTTGGATTCCTGATTCCAGGTACTGGATTCCATTCGTTAGTGGGATTCCTGATTTTACAAGCAATATTTTCCCAGATTTCGGGTTCCAATAGCAAAACTTTCCCAGATCCCAGATTCCTGAATCCTGATTCCTTTACATAGGCAGATAAACTACACAGTGCGTGGGTTTTGTCTCGCTTTTCGAAAAATCTAAGAACAACCTTGACAGGGGTTAAGGAATTAAATGGCGGGAAATACATAGCAGCTTTGCGCTGCCCTTTGCCCAGATCAGACTATCCAATCAGCTTTATTTTAATCTTGTGGTCTGGCGCAAACAATTGCTTTTTAACCCATCGCAAGGGCTATTTTGAGCTAGTCTTTGATTGACGGGTGCTTTTATTTCCTAAATAGATGTTCAAGGTTTACATTAACAGTTCTTTGGAAAACGTCAAGGTTACCTTAACTACTATTGCTACTTATTTGGCATCATTTGATGGCTTCAAGGCAAGTTTTTAAGCAATTAATGATGCTAACAGAAGGTTCCAACCGCATTGCTCTGAGGGAAAACGTTTCTGTTATTTTAGGGGTGTAACTTGGGAATTTTTCAAAGGAAGGAGGGGATTCACAGGGATAATTACACTATTGTCATGCCGACATACATGCTGTGTCTTACTAAACATGCTGAACAGTGTGACATTGTTTCAGATGAGCAACTTAAGCGTAGGGGAATTAAGAGGCGGGCCTTTGCAAAATAGCTGCATACACGTCCATAGCAATTGTTTTGGACTGTTTCGAGCTGCACGTTTTCTATTTTGAGAAATTCTCAGCTTGAATCTGACGTTTGCCGGAACGTCACTATATTAAAATCTCTCTAATAACATTCAGACATCATGATACTGCAATGATCTTGATTGTGGCCGAGAATTTTTCTCGCTCTTATCCGCTCTCCTTTAGTACGCACTTTCGGGCCAAATTCAAGTTTCTCTGGCAACGCCGTCAGTTTCAGAGTTGATTTTCAAAGACTGCGAATTAATTACCATTCAAAACTGAAAAAGATGAAAAGGAAATGATTTTCTTTTCACAAAATGTAACAGAAATTTTATCTAAATAAATTTGTAATGAAATCACAAAATTCCTGACAAATGAAAATTAACCACTTTATCAAGATAACATAAAAGGGAACCTTTTTAAGTTCTCTTGATTTGACTCATTTATATTAAAATTTTATGTCAGCGTAATGCGCGTATATGCTGTCATCTCCTATTGATCTCTTCCGCTTCATTTTCTCTTGTCCGCGTATATTTGTTTGCCACTAAAGCTGTGTGTGATCAGATGGTACTTTAATAACCCGTTCATCATTCTCTCTTGCTGTTCACTGGCCCTCTAAGCTATCTTTAGAGATTGTCTAGCTGGCCCGTTTATGAATAAAAACCACGGGACATTTGTTGACCGCTTGCGCAAGGGAGTGGGGGAGAGGAAAGAAGTAAGTAGATGCAATCCTACGGCGAGAAAAGAACATTTGCCGGTTTTATTACTTTAAGCGAGTGTACGTTGCACAGATTTAAAAACGAACAGAATTATTATTTACAGTTTCAAATACATTTTTTGTGGTCCCAAACGAAGTGGCTTCATGTCGGAGGTAAGCTATGTAGTAATAACTTTGAATAATTTTATTTCCTGCACTGCACTGTGTTGCGAAGCAATTTTTACGAAATGTTGTGTTTCGTTTCTTGGTCTTTTCTTGAAATTTTTTTCTAAACCAACTTGAGTGGTCAGTAAAAACAAAACAAAACTAACGATAAGCTGTAATGTCTTTTTTGGGAAAATGAATAAGGTCTTGGAGACTAAATTTGCGTAGTGAAACTCAGCCTCTTGATGTTGACAGAAAACTTCGTGTGCGTTGATTAACCCACAACGGAAGCCCACACACTAGATATAAGAGCTTAAAGGACATAAGTACCAGGCGTGTTCATGTGTGCGAGGACCATGAATATACGGAAATGAGTATCTAACATGACTGAGAGAAATTAATGTGACTGGACATTATTCACCATTTTTCATTTTAATTTTCTAGCCACGCATCACCAAAGACATGCCAATCATGTAAGGCTGCGCTTGGCTTAAATAAAAGCTTTGAGAAAAGGGAACAACACAATCGAGATCAGCCCGGTACTTCTTGTCAGTCTTGTTCTGGTTAATATTTCGACTACTACAACCACAGGTAGCCCAAGCTCGAAATATGAGCATTGGCGAAAAATCGGCGTTGTTGGGAAAAAAACCTATCGTTTCCGCCGTAACCTACGAAAATGAAAGGATTTCAATACAAAACAGCTTACCTTACATAAAATGTGTTTTATGTCTCTCCTGGGTGGTCCATGGGCCGACTTATGGCCGTTTTATGGGCTGTATAGTAAACGGTTTTCCTCTATATAAACCTTTACATAGAGAGAAAACCGTTTACAGTAGCACCCATAAAACGGCCATAAATCGGCCCGCCGACCACACAGGAGAGACGTTAAACACATTTTATGTAAGGTAAGCTGTTTTGTATTAAAATCCTTTCATTTTCGTAGGTTACGGAAATGATAGGTTTTTTCCGGGTTTTTTTTCCATACAAATCCTTATATTTCGAATGTTATGCAACAATGTCGATGTTCGCTGATGCTTATATTTCGAGTTTGGGCAAAGGCCAGCGTTATAGTGAAAGAGGTATTTGCTCCTTAACCCTTCCAAAGGATCGATCAGGGGAAAGGTCTCGCTAGACCGGTCATATCACGCGCCTGATGTCAATCATTTCATAATATTACCCTTGGGTGAATCAAAATTTAAATCAGTATCATATTATCAACCGACCATCACATTTTATGGTGGTTCTTTGCATTGCCTGATGGACACTTGCTCTTACGGCCGTCTCTCTTCGATTACTGCTTTATATTTTTGTTCAAATTCTATATGTAAATGTGCTTCAATCAGTTTCACACTCAACTGTAATTTTATGCAAATAGGGGATTGCTGTTAAACAAGTTTCTTTTTTCAATCTTATGATAGCTTGACCAGCTAAATATCGCTGGTACCAAAATTAAGAGAAGATGAGTGTCATTTCTCTATTGCCAAAACTGAGTCGAACCTGAGTGCTAGTTGATTTAAATAAAATGAAGGAATTTTTTATCGACCCTAACTCTCCTTGAACGACTGGGAATAAGCTTGCAATACCAATTCGGTTGCAGAGTTGCGGGTCGGGGG